CTGATCCAGATATCTTGATTGTCGAAATCGATTATATGAGACGGTAAGTGGTTACTGATGGGTGATAGGTGTTCAGTCGCTCCAGCTAAAAGAAAGGCTTTAGGATCACTGAACTACTGCAATTAACCGATCCACGGATAATCACCAATTACATATTCATTCGTTTCACCTCCTCCTGGAGTGGGGAACTTGGAGAGCGGTTTGAAGATGTCTCTCAGGTTGGTACATCTTCTACCTGGAATGAGCCGAGTTGATAAATGCTGTAGCAGAGGAAGCGCTCAAGTCACGCGCTTTCGTGTAGTATAAACTGCGTAGAAGCTCTATGCATGGGAATCCTGTTACTTCATTCACTAGAAGGACTGCTCTAGAACTGATCGTGAAGAGGTACACGATGCGTACGGCTCCTCAGTTAGCTGGCACAGCAAAGCTCAGGCGCGCGATTTGCCGAAGGCTCCCGTTCGTTCCAAAAGCACTAATGTTCGTGGGGGCTTGGGTAAAAAACAACTACAGCTCCTAAGTTGTATGCGTGGTTCTGCTGGGAACTGATTCGATTATTGCGTACCTGTGCAATTTTTGAGCCACGTAGCAGGTCTGAAGCACTTTCGGGTTGCATCCTTCGACTAATGTCCACATATGGTAAGTGAGACTAGCAACTGAACGATGACTGATCAGCACCTCAACACGAAGTCCCTATTGCATTTGCTCTTAATTCCTTAAACGGCATATTTCCTACGGCTTCACAATTTTAGTAACACTTCCGTTGATTGTTTGATTTATATTGATTTTTGAGCGGCAGTGGTGTAGTGGCAAGTGGCACGCTTACCACGCGAGCGGTCCGGGGATCAAATCCTGGGTCGTGAGTCGCCCGGGCCAACCAAGCCTTCCATCCCTCCGGGGTCGGTTAATTGGTACCAGACTTGTCTGGGAGGATAAAAACACTGACTTGTACATCGGCTGGCCCCCGCAAGTCATTGTATAGGCCACATCGCATTCAAACGCCACTACGAATGTACAAATGGAAGTAGAATGCGTGCCGCATCCCAAAAGGATTTTCTAAATATATTTTAAGGAGTTTCACCGTTTGATGTATGGAAGAAAACAAAAAGCCCCTAGATGGAAAGATTGTACTTCTCATACAATGCACAGGATGCAGTATGCCGCTGGAGCCATCTACGTGAGCAAAGTGTTCGACCAGGTGAGTCCAAGATCTTGTCAAATCTCACTAATCTGAGCTGGGCCGTGACTACCTTGCAATTTCAGGCATCAAAAAATGTGACGCTGGAGATGGTAAACGATTTACAAGAGGCGTTCCACGAGATGCTTGTTGAGAACGATTGGATGGACAAGAAAACAAAAAAGGTTTTACAAATTCACGATACTACACAGCTAGAACTTTCAAAGGACCTAGAGAACAACAATTCATTTTCAGACTGCCTTCGAAAAAGCGGAAGCTATGCTGGAGCAAATCGCTTACCCGTCGTATAACTTCTCGTCCAGTAAGAAGTCTTGACAATCCACTATGACTGTGAGTTGCGCCAATTTCGGAAAACCACGACCCAGAACCAGGGTCAGCCGTCCGTTCGGACAATTTGAACGTATCGTGCATTTGCGGTTTTTTGAATGGGTCATATTCGGGGTTGAAAAGTTGACCATCTCCTCAAAATTGTAAACGAGAGGCGTATTCGAGCAGAAAGGGTTGTAATGGTCCCGTATTAAGAAGACAGGGTTGCTGTTTGACGGGTTTTGACGATCTCACAACAGATGCATATGCATAAATTAGGAGATTTGCGCCCTCTTGGCTTGACCGCCGTTTCGATGTAACAGTGGGGAGGAGATTTTTGACTGGTCTTGAATCAAATGCTATAGAAACAAGGGGCGAGACCTTCTCAAGGAGATCATGAATAATTTCTAATTGGCGCAACGAACGGTTAGCACTATCCAGGACTCGTGACCAACACCTACACCGCATAGGCGTGCTTCTTCTATTCCTTTTTTACCGTACCTTGTCCACAACCACTAAGATACTACTGAAATTTGCTTTCAGTTCACCGTTGACGAAAGTGACTCGTACAGTCAGATGATAGAGAAGCTATCCCGATGGAACATCGAATTCGGCTTCAAGCGTCTCATGAAACCAGTCGATCGAACCGAATACAATTTTAACGCTGCTGTCGTCAATGCCTATTATTCGTCCCAATTTCAATGCAATCAGTTGGTGTTTTCTGTTGTTGAAATAGGCCTCCAATCAGTTGTTATCGCCTTGCAAGCACCTCACTCACGCTTTCACTTTACAGAGTTTCCAGCCGCCATTCTTCAAGCACCGTTCTTCCATCATACTTTCCCAAGGTAAGTTTTGGCAACAGGAACATTTTCTGAAAGGGCTCAGAAATACAGTTTCACTCTTCAACAACAGCGCACTAATTTCGTGTATGAATGGATAGTGTTTGATTCGCATGATTGAAATGAATGCGCATATTTGCAGAGCGCTCAATTACGGTGGAATCGGAGCTGTGATTGGACACGAAATCACTCATGGATTTGATGATCAAGGTGATCACCTTTGCCTCTTTTGCATTACCCATATTGCTTCAAAGGCGTCCGCTCGAATGAGGGATGTCCATGTAACCAAGGTGTTCTATGGCTAGACGGCAGGAAGGAACAGTAAGCAGGGATGTGGACGGACAGAAAACCAGTCCCCACAACAAATCAAAGTCGCACTTAAATGAGAGCACATTGCACAGTATAATTGATCGAATCAGTTCACAACGCTTCGCGACTTCTGTTCAGCATCTAACCTTACAACTATTATATGGAGTAGGCAATTCTCCATTGAAGTCAGCAGGGTTCTTTCGTTTGTCAGTAATGGTGTGGAACGATGCGCTAGCCCTAGTCAAGAACATAAGAAGTGTGACTGAACAAAAAACTCACCTTGGAAAGCCGCTAGAAAGGGAGCTGAACGCCTTCGAAGTGGGCGTGGCGTCCGATCGGTCACAACCCTCCCTTCTAGCCGTGGAGATTGCATGCTTCGGTGGAGTCCTTGCGCGATTGCGCGTAACTGTACCGCGTTTCAAGATTAATGCTGCCTCTTGTCGGTTGGCTTTTACTTGCCTAACTCATTGAATTGGCACGAGCCAGCAAGAAATGTCGGCTTTGCAAGCTGGTTCGGACAGCTCGACACGCTCCTTCCTTCATTTCAATCGGAAGAGGAGGAGTCTCTGTTCAAGGGCTTCCTCGATGGTTATCTTCGCTTATTCCCTACATATTAGCGCTCAACTAGCCATCTTCACAACTTCATTATCGACCGTTTTTACCCCTCGAATTAGATCTGGATTTGCAGCTTTATGGTGTTTTAACCTTTTCACCAGATGTTACGCAATTTGAGCTACTAAACCCTCCCGTTTCTCCTAGCCTGCTGCCGTTTGGTAGCAGCGAATTTTAGACCCTTTCGCTACCTCATTGATGTTCCGCCTCTACAGCAGAATAAGTTTCCTTTGTTCAAAATAGCACACTTTCTACTGTGCTATTTTTCATATGCGTTTTACGATAAGGTGGTGGAGTGGTTCCGAATGTACGAAAATTGTACGTTATATAGCGGAGGTGAGTGCCATCAATAGCAGTGATACTCATAACACGACGGATTGATTACTCGACACTGTTTTAGTACTATTTTCTTATGTTGTGTTGTTGCGTAGTTCCTTGCTCGCTGCGCGACTCTAAGGGGGATGCGAGACAAGAGTCCCCCTGAGGTCGCCGCGCAAGCGAAAGTAGGTCACCGCACGCGGCGGCTACCGGTCCTTACAAGTTGAAACGTGGCAATTTGCTAGGACTAAGCAAAACAAATGCAGAAATGGGGACTACACAGACGGAACAGAAAGTGTTGTATCGATCGTCTGGAGATCGTTAAGGAAGGCGGCAAATTGCAGAAACACCGGCGACGTCGCGCGCGGTGACCTAGTTTTGGCGCGGCGGTCGAGGGGGCTCTTGACCGTCTCCCTTCTAAGAGCTCTTGTGAGCAGGGTGAATAACGGTCGAGGAAATCCTCGACAGGGGGTCGTATTTGCTCCGATGAGAGTTGGGAGGGGGTCGTAATCAAAAGGGTCATCAACGGACACAACGGTGCTGCTGCCACTTATTTGCTGTCATCATTACTTTCACAAGTGTTGTAGTTAGCCTAATGCAAATAATATCTTACACCTGTCTGGAATTAAAATTCAAATGGAAAGTGGGTGTTGGTTTGGTTCGTAGTGATCATGGCATAGGAAGGCAACGCGTCCTGCAAAAGAATCGTAGGGAAAGGGCAGCGAGTATCTACTCTAGAATGATGTACATGCTTTGAGAACTTAGTGGAGGAACAGCATCTTGGTAGAAAGTTCAAAACAGGCAGATTCCACTTCTTGGCATTAGGTTTAGGTTTAGGTTTATTACGTCTGCATAAGGCACACGTTAAAAAAACACAACATCAATAAAACAATCAATATGAACATTCACAACTAAATTGGATTAGTAAATAGAACATAGAATAAGTCATCTCGAAATCAGTCTCACAAAATGCTAATATTTTTAGTACCTTAACAGAGTGTTGGCGACGCGATGCTTGAATTGTGCTAACGACAAGTTAGCTGGCATATTCTTGACTAACTTCAAGTACCGACTACCCGCTCTGAAAGTAAAGTTCCTTGCGCAGAGGTTAGTTCGGGGTCGTGTGAGCGAAATCTTTTTGAGTCCTCCCCTCGTTCTTGAGGATGTCATTTTAAAGACATTGGGAATTCCAAAACCAGACAAGCCTCGCGTCATCTTATGGACTAAGCAGATGTCAAAAACTTCGCGCCTCGACTGTAGCGATGGCAACCCTAGATACCTGTTCCTTATTGCTGCATTTGGAATTTTAGAGTACAGAAACCCTCCAATTCGGATAAGTAATTTACGAGTAAAGTTATTCTGCACTTTCTCAAGTGCGTATATGTATTTCTTTTTTGTAGGATTGAAAACCGTAGTGCCTTGATTCTACGAGAGGTCTTACATAGGACTTGTAGGCACGTATAAGAGCTCGCTTACTAGTAACTGACAACGCCTTGAAAATTTGAAATGTACGTAACTGGGCCATTTTGGTCCTCTTCAGGATGTGTTCTGAAAAATCAAGCTTGTTGTTATAGTAGAAGCCAAGGTCTCTAACAGATTCAACTGCAGAAAGTGGGACCCCATCAACCGTGTATGAGTGCAAAATTGATGGAGTTTCAGATCTCAAATTCATGTAAACCGTTTTTTGTGGAGCTATAGGTAGTTGCCATTCTTTGGACCAATTCACTGTCAAGTCAATAGCTTCTTGCAGTTTCCGAGAGTCATTCAAGTTTGAGATTGATTTATAAATTTTCATGTCGTCTGCGTAAAACTTAGCTGTAACACCAATATCTGAGAGCATTTCCGGAAGCTCAGCTGTAAAATATTAAAAAGAACTGGCGATAACACTCCACCCTGGGGCACGCCGCTGGTTATTTGCCTGACATCGGAAAGTGATTGATCTATTTTAACCTGGAAGGTTCTGCCATTTAAATAAGCGGAGATCCATTTTATGAGAACAGGATGGAATTTGAGAGCTTCCAGCTTATGAATAAGTTTCTTGTGTGAGACTCTATCGAACGCTTTCGCGAAATCAAAATAAATGACATCGCAACACCCTTTTTTTATCAAGCGTTTCAGTCCAGTCATTGAGACTTTCAATTAGATTTGTTTCTACAGACCGACCAGGAATAAAGCCATGCTGTTGCTTCCGAAATACATGATACGAATCTATAGATAATGCGACCGCAAGCGTGTCATTCATCAGAACGGATTGGAAAGGAAGCGACTTGAATATAAAGGATGATCAGACATCACTATGACCACAAGAGTTGTCCTAATTAGTTCATACTGGAAATATCTTTTTGTGTTATGCTTAAGCAAGTCGTCACTATGACAAAACACCTTCCCAATGACTCCGAGTGGGGTCACTGCATGGCGCATACAAGAACGGAATGGATCCTGCGCCAAGTGCATCATTTTCAATTTACTCCATCGAACTGACGTGTATAGAAGTATTTGAAGGTGTTCAAAGAAGTCCCCTACTACGGCGAGGGAGAGTAATAGAGTTTTCGAGTGGCTTCAAAAATTTCCTTGACATTTCCTCGACGCAGATTTCTCGCGCGAAACGAGAAGCGTTTGAGACAATGGAGCAAATCTTCTACTTTACAACGCTTTCCTTCGGATTTTCAAAGCATTGCCAATGAAGACAGCTACTGTCTTCCTAAGAGTGGGAACTCGCATGTAAATTTCAATTTCCTCGACAATTTCTCGACGTCTCCCACTCTCGAGAATAGGCGTGCTTAGAAAAACGCTCAGCACAATTTAGAAACTAGAAGTCTTGTGCATTCAAAAGCTGCCTTCACTTTCTGAAATGGTTATCAATGAAGAAAGTTATAGTCTTTAAGGACGAATTCACGATGAAAAAGCAACCCATTTCAAATTAACCTAGGGATGGTGAGTGGTACACGAAAGAAGGAAGAACCATGAGAAACGGCCCAGAACCCGAGAAATGGTACCCCTTCCTTGCCCGTTGATTCGAGCATTGATGCGACTCTCATCGCTGTGCCCTCTTCAACACTACGCTCTCTCAGCTATCTAATCACTCGCCACGTATTGAACTACGGCGAGTGATCAGATGATCGGTGGGCGGAGATCGCCGGACCCGCCAGCTTTGAGGCATGATAGGTCGCCGGTCAAATTTTTCCATGCGAATTGCGCGTCAGTTCGCACCCTCAGGAGGTCCGTGGGTCCCTCAACTAGGTCAGTTTTCCTTTTTTCGACCTCTTTAATACGTGAAGATTCTTCTTTAAAATAGGGTCTAGATGTGACGTATTTTTCGCCAACTAGCGCCTCCAGGCACAGCCGCCAATCTGCGTATCGCGGGTAGTTAGCGCCGCTATACTGAGCGACGAGACTTTTCAACTGTGTAGGGGCAGTGCCTCCTTCAATGTTCTACTTATCCGGCCAATGTGGCAAAGGTTAAATGTCTTTAAAGGAAAGAAGGAGAACCTAATCTGAGCAGAATTGAATCTAGCATTTGGATCAAGCCGCATTTGCGTGGCAGTGGCGCTGCGTCCCTCTCGCACATCTGAAACTAGCATTTTTTGATGAAACCGGATGTGCAGAGGACAAAAAGGGGTCGTATCAGAGTCCATGTTTGGAGGGGGGTCGTAAAGAGGCGGTTATTTCCTCGACACGATTTTCACCCTGCTGTGAGTAGCGATAGTGTGTTTACGGGGAGGTGTATAGAAGTTTCAAGGCACGATTTATCGCAAAGCACTTCATCCGTTTTGCTCAACAAATTGTTGCAAATTTCATATTTTATGCCTTGAATTCACCTGGGCTCCATTAGTTTCTCCATTTCAACGTTCGACAGTACAAAAGCGAGAGTATTAGCTCTTGGCAAAGCTCGCCCACTTTGTGCTGACCACCCATCCTTAGCAATTCATTGCCTTCCTTCCCAACAGTTGAACCTTTTTCCCGCGTTTCAGCGCTACTATCGAACTAATTATTAGTTATATATGTATAAGGCGCCATCTTCACTGAAGACACATCCCTATCGTATAGCTTGCCATAGTCAAGTCAGTCTTTCTCAAAGTTCACAAAATGTGTCTTGTCGTCCCATCAGTCGTATGCTCGTAAATCTGAATTGCATCATTTCGTCCCCTATGTCCTTATGTAAGTCAAATTATGAAATACGTAAGTATGGAGTAAGGAATCCAAAAGTTAACTTCTATTTCCGAATTTCAGGTCAGCAATTTGATGCGGTCGGAAACCTACGCGATTGGTGGGATGCAGATGTTAAAAAGAAGTTTGTGGAGCGAGCTCAGTGTATCATCGACCAATACCAAAAAATTGAGGTTGATCTTGGGTTTCATGATGAAGCCGTGTGCAAATGAGATGAAATTTTGCAGGTACCACGCGCTGGTCTGAGAGTAAATGGCAAACTTACTCAGGGAGAGAATATCGCCGACAACGGGGGAGTGAAGCAAGCGTACAGAGTTCGTTATTAGTCGCTTCATAATGCAAGAGTTACCTTTCCCGGTTCTGCTATACAGGCACATTTTTGGGTGAAAAGTCAAGTCAATGAACATAAGATCGTGTAGAGACCTGGCCTACACTAGCTTTTCCACGCCTTCTTAATGGACAATTTTTCAGGCGTACAAGAAGTACTTGGAGAAACACGGAGAGGAGAAGCGTATTGAGGGATTGGAACAATACAACAACGAACAAATGTTTTTCATGGGTTACGCAACGGTACTGCTCAATAAAATATCTTGTTGCGCATTCTAGGGATGATTTTCTTTTTAGACTTGGTGTGGTCATATGACGAAGGATGCGCTTATAAATCTCATTCTTACCGATCCTCACTCTCCAGAACGCTATCGGTATGTATTTTTCCAACGAATTATGCAAAATTATGTAAAAATATGGAATGGGTGTCTGTGTCTCTCAAAATGAACGGCGTAGCGCCATCGATGATATCGACGTTTCGATGCCGTTATCAGCTCCTATCAGTAGTTATCACTTCCCGCCACCCATCATCAGTGTTCACTCCCCCCTATATATCCTAGAAGTTTGAGCGCTCTGGGTCCAAAGGGAGTGAAGTTATGAATTTCCGTGCGACAGACAGACAGACACACAACACAACCACTTATCTTAGTAGTAGGATCTTTGAAACAACAACCCAACGAAGTCATGTCGGAGAATCTATCCAGTAGATGGGGTACAGTAGCCCACATTTGACAGACGTGCCGTTGTAGCGTATCGGAAGTGCACGAGGCTAGGGCTTGCACAGTGAAATTTTACCGACTTATCTTAGCTTTTGATTCTGATACCTCGCGCTCGCTCTCACGCAGAGTGGATTACGACGTCGCAGATAAAATTGCCGATATGAAGATAAAAATGGTAGCCTCATCGCTGCGGTTGCGTTTGAAATCTTCCAGACACATACCCTCGCCTTCAAATGACCAGAAATTGTGCAATTGCAGAAATTGACGTGGCATTAACGTGGCATCGATTCAAGAACATCTTTGAGCACACGTGATGTCACCTTTTCATCGAGAATTTAGCCACGTGTGCCACGTGGATTTCTGGCTGCATGAAACAGAGTGTACTTGCCACGCTATCATTATCAGTCGCTGTTGTCTCACCAATTTGAATTCCATTAGGGGTTGTTGCTTAAAATGCCTAGTTAACGATGAAAAGGCAACCCATTGAAAGTTAAAGATGGTCAGTGATGCGCGAAAGAGGAAATATCAAAAAAAAACTGTATCAGAACCCTAGAAATGAGACCTTCCTCGCCCGTTGGTTTGCACATTGCGACTCGTTGGTGCTGCCCTCTTCAACGCTGACCTCTTTCTACTGGACAGCTAAAGACTCATCACGAGATGATGCGAGAGGAGGCGTACCGGGCCAATGTTTAATGGGCCGCCGAGAAGGCTATACTAGAGCGCCGAGGCATATCCTTCGATGCAGTCTACAATAAGTTCCTAGGACTTTGAGAGCGCTAGAGAAGTCCGAGTAGAGAGAGCATAGCAGATCAAGTTAGCGACGCAGACAAGATATCGAGCGGTGGGCGGAGCGTGTCGCAACAGGTGGAGCGTGTCAAAGTTCTTAGCGCCTAGCGTCTAAATAACGCTTTTCGAAGTAGGGAAGTGACGCGACCTCTACACTTGCGTACCTAGCGCTTCTAGCCACCGTAAAGGCTCATTAAGTGGGTCTGAGCCCGAACTTTGCCTTCAAGAGAACGATCTGTCTCTCCACTGGGTATGTTTCCCTTTCTTCTACCTTCGTCCTTCTCTTGGAATCCTTCCTTTACGGTTGGAGAACTAAAAAGCGTGCTTTCTAGTATCACTATAGGTCAAATAAAAGGCCCCCACTAAACTCCAGTTTCACAGTTGTATGAATACCTCCCCTTCTTCCACATTCACATTCAATATTCTTTCAAGCTACGTAAAAATACTTTCAGGCATCTGAAAAGTCGAGCACTTCGAAATGTTGAATCGAGAAACCGAGTTAAATCTTGACACTTACAATTAGCCTTTTCTGCAGTCATCATTTATTCAGGGTCAATCAGGTGCTCGCCAATCAGCCAGAGTTTGCTGCTGCGTTCAAGTGTGCAGTTGGTACTCCAATGAATCCAACAGAACGTTGTGCTGTTTGGTGACCGAATTCACGGGAAATTCACTACATTCTTTAACATATCATAACTGGATTTTATGTTGGTTATAGTTATATCTATTTATTTGTACAGAATTGTTTTTTTTTCTTGTCGAGGTAGGGGCTTTTTTTTCTTGTCGAGAATAGGCTAACAAATTCGAGAACTGTTGTTCTTAGTGGGAGGCGTGCCTTTGATTGGGTACTTGGCTCTGGATTATAGTAACTTGTGTTTTCTATGCAACCACGTTTTTACACAATCTTTGACTATGTTCATAATTGACTGTAGTGGTTTGTCATATGTTGGCAACTGGAATTGCGCTTTAATAAAAGTACAGGACAGGGTAAACTTTATGTTGCTGTTTTTCGAGAGGAACGTTAACATATGCATACCAGTAGCCCTATATGGTCTCCAGAAATTCATGCTCGTGGGACGATGGCATCACACATGGGCTGCAACCTGCCGCTTATAATTGCATTCCATTTGCATATATCGCAGGTTATGGCTTTTTCTAATTTATTTATTTATTTATTTTGATGCACGCATAGGTGCGCTATAACATAGCCAATAGTGTACCGCAATGAAGAGTGAAGCTTGACCGACCTTAACTCGTAAGGGAAAGAGAGTTACCACGCGGAAGACAAAAAGGAAATACATACCAAACTTCTGCCCAATCGAAGAAATTGTTGAGAAGACCTGGTGTTACCACGTTGAGCAGAACACGTGATACCAAAAATGACTCCAGATAGGCGGATGGCGCTAGGGATAACGCCACTCCTAGACGAGCTCGGAGCATACGTACGGAATCCGAAACTGAATTTTCGGATGTTAGGTATTCCCTACCCCTAACAATTCAGTTTCGGACCCGCCTCAAAAGATTAATTCAAACCAGGATAAACATCAAAACTCAACTAAGTAGAGCTTAGTCAGAAGAGAGAAAATCTGTAGATAAACGCAGACATCCACGTAGATTTCCCTCCCAAACCGTTAAGGTCAATCAAAAACGACAGCGGGTTCCATAGGAATAGCATTTGTGAAAGCAACTCAAAAAGAAAAAAAATACAAACAAACAAAAACAAACAGAAATCAACTATCTACTATCACAGCCTTCTAAAATATCGGTCGAACTGACAGTTAGAGCGCAAGAGACAAACGTTCAGAGTAAATGTCCGATAACTGAAAAAAAAAGTCCTCAAGGATATCAGAAGTCTTGAATGCCAAGAAGCGCTAAAAGATCAACTTTCCTCAACTTCCTCTTAAAAATGTTGACATTTTGAGCCCTTTGAATCTCCGTTGGGATCATCTGAAGCCATTTCGCTCCCCGGAAAATCAAGGAGTTGGAAACTTTACTACGATGTTTTCTGGTTAGCTTAGGACATATTAGAGAGAAGACACTAGTGCGCCCACGGGAAGGACGAAACACCCAGTAAGTGCTTTGGCTTCAGCTTCAAATCGCCTTTGAGCAATTTGAAGCAGAAGACAATGTCGTTAAAAACACGTCTATATAGCAAGCTCTTGAGTTTGAAGCGTTTTAGACGTTCTCTATATTCTGGCATACAAGACGGATACTCAGGGTTTGGGTAGCACCGATACATCAGTATTTTTGTGAAGGTTTGTTGGACCTTCTCTATTCTTGCCTGGAGTTTTCTGGTGTACGGACTCCAAATTTGTGATCCATATTCCAATATCGGTATTACATAGGTCTTATAAAGTTTCAGGAAAAGTGACACGTCATTATAACGAATATTCCTGAAAATGGTGAAAAGGGCTTTGAAGGCTTTTTGTACGATTTCCCTAAGGTGGGGCTCGAAATCTAGTTCTGTATTGACCAAGAACCCAAGGTCACGGACATCATCAGAAACGCGCAGTGCTACTCCATTAAAAGCGTAGGGAGACCTATGAGCATTCCCAATGTGGAGCACCACTGTTTTTTCAAGGTTGAGAGGTATTTCCCAAGCCGTAGCCCAATCCATCATGTTGATAATGGATTGAGATAGGGCGTGGTGAATACTTTCTTTGGTATCGTCATCATAAACACCATATACCTTTATATCATCTGCGTAAATACGAACTTTAACCGAAGGATGTGTAATCAGATAGTTCGGCAAATCATAGGTGTACGCTAAAAACAAGATTGGAGAGAGTACACCACCTTGCGGAACACCGCTAGTGCATAAGTAGCGTTTCGAAAAGGCATTTCCAACTTTCACGCACATGTGCCTGTCGGTTAGGTAGGAGCGTATCCAGTTGTGGATAGTACCACCTACACCTAGCTGACATAGTTTGAGCAAAAGTTTATCAATGTTCACTCTATCAAAAGCTTTAGACAAATCAAAGTAGATTACATCGACACCTTGACCTTTGTTTATGGCTAGACTCCAGTCAAAAACGCAGTCAGCCATCAAAGTACTTGTAGAAGCTCCCGCCATGAATCCGTGTTGTACCTGTGGGATTAACATGTTCCTGCTGAAGTGCATTGCAAGTTTGTCGCGTATGAGTTTCTCCAAGACTTTAGCAGTAGGTGAGGTTATACTGATGGGACGAAAGGATGACACCTTATCCGGTTTTGGAACTTTCGGTATTGCCGTTATTATAGACTCTTTCCAGATGCAGGGGACCTCAGAAAACATCAGTGATGCATTCAATATCATACAGATGGGTTTATACAGAGAACGAGCGCATTTTTTCAACACAATCTGAGGAATACCATCATATGGAGAGGAACAAGAGGTTTTGAGAGACTTCAGGGACCTATACACTTCTTCAGGGGTAACAGTGATATCAGGGAAAAGGTTTGGCATGCGACTGTTTTCAACGACCTCCTCTGGGGTAGCTATAGGCATTGTATAAACGGACGCGAAGAAACTTGCAAGCGCTTCAGCTTTGTGAATATCAGTTATGAACATATCACCAGTATCATTTTTCAAAACTGGTATGTTCAGCTGTGGTCTCATTTTACCTCTGATTAGTGCAAAAAGAGCTTTCTTATTTGCTCTGGTAGAGCTGCGTTTTTCATGGGAGGCAAGAAATCTTCGTAGGTGATAGTCGAGCTCACTGCAGATATGTTTATAAGAATGGATTAACAGAGGGCAATCCTGTAGTTTACTGAACACCCGAGCTTTTTGAGCCATCAGATTACATACGTGTTTCGGGTATCGTAACCTTGGCACTCGCTTAGACTCAAAAGGCACATGTTCAGCAAAGCCAGAGTACAAAATGCGACAAAATCTCCGATACAGATCATCTACCGAATGATATCCTTCAAAAGCACTCCACCAGTCAATGGAAGATAAGTACTGTGAAAGGGCAGTGTAGTCGGCTTTCATGAAATTCGGAAGGGGAAGCAGTTTGGGCTCATGCAACGAAACAGAGATCTTGAAAGAAACAACGTTATGGTCGGACGCAGCAAAAGGCGGGCATACACACAAATCCTTGATAACTGCAGTGTTACTTAGCACCAAATCTAGGGTTGAGTCACCCCGCGTTGGATTCGCTACATGTTGCGTCAAATCGAAAGACTCAAAGAGTTGAAGGAATCTAGAGGATGCCGGACTTTTAGCTTTTCCAGATGACCAGTCTATCTCCAGGTTAAAATCCCCCAAAACAATGAGATTTTCGATCGAAATGCAGAGTTCCAACAACGAATCAATGATGCACTCATCGTCATCCGAATCTGAATTTGGTGGCCGATACACCAAAATTACTCTGAAACTTAGGGAAGAAAACATGTCATACCCATCGAGGCTAAGAATCTCCGAGCTCCGGCAAGAAGGCGACGCAATAGCAGAAAGGTGAATGACGTTCCTAGCTAAACAACAAACACCACCTCCTCTACGATTTTTCCGGTCCAGACGGAAAAGGCTGTATGGACGGCTGGAAATGATTTCAGTGTCAGAAATTTTTGAAGACAGCCATGTCTCAGTGATGAAAACCAGATCGGGATTATACATATCGAGGAAAAAGTGGAGATGGTGGAGTTTGTTGCCCAGACTTCGTGAGTTGAAGAGGAAACATCTCAGTCCGGTCGGTGTTCCGTGCCGCATTATGCGTTTCCCGACCCCTGCGGTTTGGGTAGCTCGTCGGCGCGCCTCAGCTCACCACGATATACTACCCAAACGCGATTATTAAGCTGGTCATTGCGCGCCTTACACTCTTGCCGAAGCTGGAGTTCACGATTGCGCTCTTCACGTGTTAAACTTCTGCGCACAAAGACATTGGTCAAGCTTGATCCACGCAAGCGATAACTGTTGGATAAAGCTGTGATCCAATGGCCTTTGGACGGAAGCACCACCTTCACTAGGCGAGGATGCATCCCTCCGGGTCGACCCATGCGATAGACCTCAACAGGCTTACACTCCACGCCCAGGAAGTCTAGTACTTCCGTTACCTTTGACTCAACCTCTTTCTGCTTGATGGAAGGTGGAAGCCCAGCAGCCGACTCCGGAATACCAGACATGACCAAGCTCCGACCCCGCTTCTCTTCCTCCACGGCATCTGTGACTGCTTGAGGTAGTTTAGTAACGAGCGCGTTGAGGTACTTGCCCATGATCGGGTCTTTGATCTGGTCGTTCCTTTCGATCATGGCAGAAACAAGCTCATTCAAAGATAAACCTGCAATGTCTAAATCAGACGGAGAGCATCTAAAGTACTAGTACTTTGTGTTCCCTTAGAAGCCCTGTCCTGCAGACCACGCGATCTCTGTTGTGTCGCAGTGCGTGCCATTTGATCACTAATCTATAGAAGGAACGAGCAAATAGAACCAAGGGACCAACTCAGCTCTAGAGAAAGAAAAACGAAAACGCCTCAAACTTCCCTGAAGTCAGTCGCTGGTGAAGTACGGATATACCTTCTATAAGAATAGCAAGCCGTGTAGCCGTTGTAAGCAATGAAATTGAGTCAAAGTGGAAAATATGCAGCAGCAGTTCAGACGCGACCGCCCAGTAGGTGCACAGAAGACGACTTGAAATCTCAACGAAATTATTAGGGATTGATATGCAACCCCAAACGGC